CAGGCACAGAAGAATGAGAAAAAGCCAGAAATCCATCCAGAGTTATTTTTTAACCCATGTCAGAATACTTACGTAAATACATTTTGGTGACTTTAACTGAAAATAAACTCATACCAGAATGAAACTGGTTGGCAAGAAACACACGCTGTCTGAGCAAACACACTCCACCCCATATCTTCAGTTTCACTCAGCTCCACAGACGTTTGTGAGGCGCGTGGGATAAATGGAGGGAATGCGGACGTGGATGACGTGTAACGCTTACCTTCCTGGCTGCCAAGCCTGATGACCGGAGTTTGGTTCGTGGGATCCACGCGGTTGACTGACTCCCGAAGGTACAGCGGGTACTTCTCGAGCCTTGGTATGGTTTACTGCATGGCTGGCTGATCCTGGAGCCCTGGAAAACATGTGCACTGGGCGGAGTCCTGAGAGACGTGACTCCTCTAAAGTCATGTGCCACACGGTTTTAGACCCATCCTTTGCTGAGGGCCACCCAGTCATGTTCTGGAGGTTCGCCACTCAGTGGCATCAGGGGACAGGCTCTGAGGTCCCTGTGTGATAGACACTGAGGCCCACAGAGCCCAAGAACTTGTCAGTCCAGAGCTAATCTGTGTTGGAATCTTAGGCAGTTTTACTAGAAGGTCTATTCTTTCTTTCTTTCTTTCTTTTTTAATTCTATTTATTTATATTTTATGTATGAATGCTTTGCATGTATGTATATCTCCATGCCAGAAGAGGACATCAGATCCTATAGATTATAGATGGTTGTGAGCCACCATGTGGTTGCTGGGAATTGAACTCAGGACCTCTGGAAGAGCAGCCAGTGCTCTTAACCTCTGAGCCATCTCTCCAGCCCAAACAAAGGTCTATGCTTTCTTGATGTCTTTCTCAGCCTGAGATCAGGATCCTGGCTTCGGGCTGTGCCCTCCATCCCTGCCAAGCCCCACCATTGGCTGGCCAGCAGACTGCTCCCCAGAGAGCTTCAATGGACTTACAAGGTTGTACCCGTGTTCCTTGGTGTTCCTTGGAGCAGCGTCCACGTGGATCGCTTAACCTGCTGTCCATGTGACCACTTCTCAGGGACAACTACAGGGAGGGTTCGATTGAACTTTGGGTGACATTAGAACCACCATTCAGCAGGCTCTCTATGGAGAACAACTGGAAGTCTGAATAGTAGCTGCCTGGACAGCAAGCTCTGGTTGTCATGGTAACTCTCCCAGACCCTGCAGTCAAAACAGCACCACTGAGCTTGAGCTACAAAGTGGGGCTGCAGCAGTTGTTGGGGTGTCTCTTGCTGTGTGCTTCAGAGTGCTGGCGGAGGCAAGGGGGCGGAGTCGGGAGTGAGCACTTCCTCCCATCCGGTTTGCCTGCCTGGCCTCTGGGTCCCAGGTGGAGACTGGGCACCTATGGCACGTGAGTGATGACCTGGGACCTGGGGAGGGCCACGCACTTAACACACGGAGATGGCACCGACATCCCAGGGGCTTTAGGTCTGTAGTTCTGTGAGCACCGATTGCTCTCTTGTGTCTCTGGCATTATGCTAAGCACCGGGGCCAGGGATGAATTTGACCGAGACCCCGCCCCTCCCTCCAGACAGGTGCCCTCCCAATTGCCAAGGAAAGGAGTGGGGGAGCAACTTGGGGCAGCTGACGGCAGGGAGGCGGCATGGAGGTGGCGTGGAGGTGGCGTGGCCTTCTCCACTTCTCTGGGAGTTAATCCTCTATTGTGGGGATTAACAAGGCAACTGCACACAGTTAAAAAGGAGGTTTATTTTGGGGTAACTTACAGCCAGAAGAGGGGTTGGTTACAGGACCCAGGAGAGGTGAGGTGTAGTCCAGCCGGGCTCTCTGGAGAACTCTGCTCGGTCTACCATCCAGCATCCAGGATCACGAGGAACCAAGAGGCCCAGCACGTCCAGATCTCAGGTCTTAAGGGTTCCCATCATAGGTAGGCATGGCAGTTACCGGAAGCCTCACTGGAGTAGTATTTCCAGGTCAAAGCTGGAAGAACTACCCACAACCATCCCCCATCCTGAAAGGGCTCGGGACGGCCACTCCTCCCCTTGCTCTGGACCCTGCATGGGGGAATTGCCTCTTAGACTCTCTTGCCTCTTAGACTCATCTCTATTTCATTTTACATATATGAATGCTTTGCCTGAGTACATGTCTGTTCACCACACGCAAGCGTGGTGTCCCCAGAAGCCTGAAGAAGGCACTGGATTCCCTAGAACTGGAGTTACAGACAGTCACAATCTGTCACGTGGGTGCTAGGAATTGCACCCGAGTCTTCTGGAAGAGCAGCCAGTGTTCTTAACCATGAAGCCATTTCCCCAGCCCTGCTTGCTAGCTTTGGACACATCAATAGGACTCGGTCTCAGTGCAGTGTGCAGGCCCTCCTTGGAGGGGAGTTAGCAGGGGTACTGGCCGAAGGCATAGGGCTGGTGTGGCCAGTGGAAGAAGCAGGTGGACAGAGGATGGTTTGAGGGCAGGTTTGGCATCTCACAGTCCGGTGGCTTCAGGGTGGGTGCTGTCTAACCCGGGGCCCCGCCAGCTGCTAGGCGGGAAATGTCACCATAGTCTGTTCAGACAGATGTGCATTTTTGCTACTCTGCAAATCTACCTGACTGTGATGCAGGATGAAAGTGTCTCCTTTGCAGCCCGGGAGTGTGGCTCAGCTGGCAGAGCATTGCCTGGCACGCACACCTCCCTGAGTTCAGTGGCCGGCGCTGCACAACGGAGGCATGGTGGTGCACAGCCGTGATCCCAGTGCTTGAGAGGACGGGATTTCTTTTCTCTTATTCCCTTATCTGTTGTTCTCTCCTCACGCGCCACGTCAATGAGAAAGTCCCAGCAGAGCTGCCACCTTTGAAGGTGACTGTGGGATGGGTGTGGTGGCGCACTCTGAGGCAGAGGCAGGGTGAATCTCTGAGTTTGAGGCCAGCCTGGTCTACATAGTGAGACTCCCATCTCCGAAAAGTCTCCTTTACGATAAAATGTGAAAACGTGTCTTCTATGAGTGCCATGTCACTACCCTGGACGCCGAGCCTGGAGCTGCTGCTGCCTCCCCCAGTTCTTTTCCAGATCCCGTTTCTGGTTCCCTCCTTTAGACTGCAGTGAGGGGACTTCTCATCCGCCTCTCCCCGGCAGTACTGGCCCTGTTACAGGCCAACGGCGCCCCCTGGCGGTCTCTAGTGGAACAGTCTTGGCTGTCAGGGGCTTCTGACATCTCCTGGATGGGAGGGGAGTGGGACAGGAGGCAGGATCAGCTGTGGTTCTGGTGGACTCTGTACAGAGCGCCGTTCGGATCCCACGTTTGCACGAGCAGAGGGGAGGGAGCTCGGGAGAGCATTCGTCAGCTGGACGTGGTGGCGCACGCCTTTGATCCCTGCACTCGGGAGGCAGAGGCAGGCGGATCTCTGTGAGTTCGAGGCCAGCCTGGGCTACAGAGCGAGTTCCAAGACAGCCAGGACTTTTTTTTTTTTGGGGGGGGGGGGTTCGAGACAGGGTTTCTCTGTGTAGCTTTGCACCTTTCCTGGAACTCACTCTGTAGCCCAGGCTGGCCTTGAACTCACAGAGATCCGCCTGCCTCTGCCTCCTGAGTTCTGGGATTAAAGGCACGCGCCACCACCGCCGGGCCAGCCAGGACTGCTTACACAGAGAAACCCTATCTCAAAAACAAACAAAACAAAGCAGTAACAACAGAAGAGTCCTGTGGGATGTTCTCTGTGCTGTGAATGTGTTGCTCTGATTGGTTAATAAATAAAGTGCTGAAGTATAGGCAGGACAAAGAGAGAGGAGAATTCTGGGAACAGGAAGGCTGAGTCAGGAGATGCTGCCAGCCGTGGCCACCATGAGAAGCAGATGTAAAGATACTGGTAAGCCATGAGGAAAGGTATAGATTTATAGAAATGGGTTAGTTTAAGATATAAGAACTAGATAGCAAGAAGCCTGCCACGGCCATACAGTTTATAAGTAATATAAGCATCTGAGTGATTATTTTATAAGTGGGCTGCAGGACTTCAGGGGCATGGCGGGACCTGGAGAGAAACTCTCCAGCTACAGAAGCGCACCTGTGAGCTTTTGTTGCAGTGATTAATTTCTGACAAAAAAGGAGAGAAGGCCGGCATAGCCCGACTCCAATGGAACTAGCCTGTAGTGGGCTAGTTCTCTGGAACTGGAGTTACAGCCAGTCACAATCTGTCACGTGGGTGCTAGGGATTGCACCCGAGTCTTCTGGAAGAGCAGCCGGTGTTCTTAACCACGAAGCCATTTCCCCAGCCCT